GGTCGGAGGAGGAAGTTAAGGCCAAAACAAATTGCTAACTCATTTTGCGCGCTGATAAAATCCATCCTGAGCATGGCTCTGTGTTTGCTAGGTAACAGACTCCATATTTATCCAATGGGGCTGAATTGTGGATATGTTATAGTACACACCCATTGGAACAACTTTCATGAAGAATGCTGCCTCATCCGAGCTGTGTAGATTGCTGAAACAAAGCTTGCAATATGACCCACGAAACTGGACTGGCAAGAGGCTGTAGGAAAAATGAGTTTGTCTTTAAGCTCTTCTTCCATTCATCCAAATTAGGCCTTAACATGCTTGAATTGCATGAATTATGCTCTCTTGCTCTATTGGCCTACAAAACACACAAAGGGAGGGAAATAACTTAGAATTATAGGAACTAAGCAAAAGAAGTAAGTAAATTGGGCATGTATATGTATGAAATTATGAGCTTAACAAGGAAGAAGAAGAGGACGACCCAACAGGACATAAAAGGCTAGATTGACGAAAATAGAAATGGCATGGCAAAATCGTATACTTTTAGGACTTGGATGCTGACAAAAAATCAAATATTAAGAAGGCGGATAATGATAGCAAACAGAAGTGCAAGTTATATGCTACAATGGGCTCACTCAAGAAGTGAATGGGCTAGCTAGGTTTGGAGGAGTAATATATTGTAGGTTATGTGCGAGGGAGTCTGTGTCTTCGGGAAACAAAGTTTATGTGCGAGGGAGTCTGTGTCTTCGGGAAGAGAATGGAGGACCTTGAGAAATGTTTTGGTGTATGTGACGTCCGAAGATCAAATTTATGCTCTTGTTCAGTGTCACTATAAGGAAAAGAAGGGAGTATAAGGAGAGGGAGAGGGTCAGGGAGAGGAAGATGTAGAGGAAGAGGAAAAGGAAGAGGGAAATGAAGAGGAAGAAGAAGAGGATGACCCAATGGGACATAAAAGTCCGAACTGGCGACCATGGAAATAGTAGGGCAAAATCGTATACTTTTAGAACTTGGATGCTGACAGAAAATCAAATATTAAAAAGGCGACTAAAGATAGCAAACACGAGTGCAAGTTATATGCTACAGTGGGCTCACTCAAGAAGTGAGTTGGCTAGCTAGGTTTGGGGGAGTAATATGTTCTAGGTTTCTCTTCCTTGTACTATTAGATGTCTAATTTAGTTTCGTTGGTTTAGATTTGTATTTTCCTTTTTTGCTTAAGTTTTCAGTCTACTCAAGTTTGTATTATACTTTTCTCCTTAAGTTTATGTACGTTTGGTTCGGTGAAACTAGTTACAATCCACATCCATAAATCCACCGAAATATGTCCATATGGTAGTAATGATATGTTTGTTTCGTTTTTGTACTTGAATTGAAACCTAGAAAAGAGATGTGAGAACTTAACCAAACCCAAGATATTAGTTAAAAATTCAGAAATTGAAGGTTATAGATATAAGGAAAATATTTATTTTTAAAAAATTGAGTTTTTTTGAACTTGCATGTCAACTTCACTAAATCAATATGTAAACTGCTTTGATTTAAAGTTGGAGATATTTCCAATTAATTGTCTTGATTCGTTGACGGGCCAGACGCTACAATGTTACAAAAACTTAGAGGGTTTTTGAAAGAAATGAGTCTGCTAGGGTTTTTCCGAGTCGATTAAGGTTCGAGATTTTGATAGTGCTAGATTCTTGGCGTGATCTATTCTTCTTATGAACCAAAGTTTATGTGCGAGGGAGTCTGTGTCTTCGGGAAGAGAATGGAGGACCTTGAGAAATGTTTTGGTGTATGTGACGTCCGAAGATCAAATTTATGCTCTTGTTCAGTGTCACTATAAGGAAAAGAAGGGAGTATAAGGAGAGGGAGAGGGTCAGGGAGAGGAAGATGTAGAGGAAGAGGAAAAGGAAGAGGGAAATGAAGAGGAAGAAGAAGAGGATGACCCAATGGGACATAAAAGTCCGAACTGGCGACCATGGAAATAGTAGGGCAAAATCGTATACTTTTAGAACTTGGATGCTGACAGAAAATCAAATATTAAAAAGGCGACTAAAGATAGCAAACACGAGTGCAAGTTATATGCTACAGTGGGCTCACTCAAGAACCAAAAGACCATGGAAATGGTAGGGCAAAGGAGAGTATAAGATTGAATGTGCCTCTGCAAAGTGCCGCCATCTACTATTGGAATAATACTTCCAAAACCTTTGACTTCGGGCTAGGGCCTATGACTCCCACAATTTTGGATATGGCATCCCTATTTGGGTTTCGTTTCCATGGAGTAAACATAGACGTTCTCGGGGATTATTAGAGAAATGGGAGAAAAATGAAGACTCCGATCCGTGCTACCAAAACAGAAATACTAAGGAATATGAAATATTCTATGTTTATGCTGTCCTATCAGAATATGCTAGATGAGGAGCAGGAACATGTGATGTTCTTGCTATTTTGGCTAAACAAGTTTGTCTTCCCTTGCTTGAAGGATTTGTAACGGGCGAGTATATGCATCTGGCAAAAACCTTACACAATGAAGATAATGTAGCCACATGCCCATTCATGTTGGCCTCAATTTACCATTTCCTCCATCAGATCACCACAAAATCAATGGACCTGAATGACTGTGGTCCCATTTGGATGATCCAAATATGACTGCAATGGTATTTCCCTAAACTTGGATTAGATAAATTAACATTTCTGGAGGATGAGATCCCAGCTTTTCGCATCGTCTCCAGCCCGTTGAGGCCTGTCAAGATTGAAGAATGCTTCATCTTCTTCCGGGACTGCAAACAGAGAGAAGAAGGGCAATAGCTGTGATTAGTGGAGAGGGATTTTCCATGGTTTAAGGATAAAAAGATATAGGAATAGGGGGCAAAATGGACCAATCTGTCATCAAGACAAGCCACTAATCGGGCTAAAAAAGCCGTCTCCTGACTGATAACCAGGGATATTTTCTTTAGTGCCAGCGACTCGTCAGTGAGTTATCAGCTATGAAGCATAGATACGAATACGACGATTTGATGATACGACACGATACGACATGGGGATACGATAGATCTCTAAAAACTAAGATACGATACGTCAAGAATACAACAATTAAAAATATATATAATTGAAAAGTTATTTTAAATCACATAATTTTATTATTAAATTATAAATATGTATATATATATATATATATATATATATATATATATATATATATTTGTCATAATACGTAAATATATATTAGTATAGCATTCTTGGGCTTTTTTCTTCCTGTTCTATATGTTTTTCTAGGCCCTGTATAGCTTTTTCAGACTTTGGGCTTAGGCTCAAACCATAAACAGACCCAAGAAAAAAACAAATCTATGTTTAAGAAATAGAAAAATATGGTTTTAAGATAATGACGTCATCCACTTGATATGTTAAAAAAAATGAAAAAATTAGGTCAATAAGGCCTGTTTGGTATTTGATTTGAGTCCAATTTTATAAATTTAAAAACAGATTATAAGTCTAAAGGCCCAAAAAAAAACGTTTGGTAGGCCCCAAACCCAAAATAAACTCAAAAATACCCCGTTAATGGAAACAAAACAAATGCGTTTTTCTTGCTCACTCTGGTTCTCGCTCAAGCTTGAAGCTTCCATGGGAGAAGCTTGAAGCTCTCTTGCTCCCTCTCTCTCCATCTCTCTCTTCGTCCTTCTCTCTCTGTCTACCTCTCTCCTCCTCTCTCTCATCAGTTCAAACCCTAGAAATTGGGGATTTCCAATATTAAAGGTCAGTTTGCTTTTTTCTATTCCTTTTGTCTTTTAGTTTCTCGAATTTTTTTGGATAGCTGGGTTTCGTTTGCTGGTAATGTGAGTTTTTGATTAAATTTATTGAAATATTTTGTCCTGATTGTTGTTAAGAAGTAGGCCAAGAGATTGTAACAAAGCAACAAAGTCCTGAGGTTTATTTTGTGTTTGTGGTGGAGATATTATTGGGTTAACTACAGTTCCTTTTTAATAATTTGAAATTTCTGATGCTATGTGTCTGTGAATTTGGAAATTAGGGATTTGTTACATTGGTTCGGATTAATTATGTGTTATCGGTCTTTGAGTTTTAGGGTATGTGCTGCTTATATATCCAACTAGTTATCCTGTATGTACATTGGTTTGGATTAATATGCATCTGGGTTTGTGAGATTTGATTTGGGATTATGCTTGATACATACGCTATTTAGGCATTGATAGTGAACAACAACAGCCTGGGACTGATCCCTTTCCTGTTATAAATGTTGGTGTAGATGATTAGAAGTTAAGGTGCCATAGATTAAGGATAAGCAAGCACAATCAATTTGAGACTGCTACAAGTTACAACTTACCAGCAGGCTTTTCTTTTTTATGTCTGTATATGCATAATAACATTCTATGCCTGAGTCACGCATAATAACATTCTATGCTTGCACAATCAATTTGAGAATCTTTGTTTTGTTGGGGCCTCAAAAACTTCATTGCCTTTTTCTTGTCAATAATGGCAAAGTGCTTTGTGAATATGGACTCCACTTCATCCATTAGTTTAACAACCTTTTCAAACCAAATATAACAACACACAGAATCCCCATCAGAAAACCATTAAACCCATTCTTGCCAACAAAAAATGGTATTTAGAAATATATCATATTCAGGACAATGAGCTAGGGTTGCAGGGCATCTGATCAGTTACCTTATCAGAACTGATAACATGTGATCTCTTCACTGCTTTTAGATAGCTTGCTGACGCCTGCTGGTTTGATACCTACACAAAGTTTAACAAAAAAGAAAGTAGTTCGCTTCAATTTACTTGCACCAAAAGTTAATGTGGTAAATGCATATAAGAAACAATAAGATTGATATATATGGGTACCCAAAATATCTTGCAATTCCCTCTTCTACATGTATATTCTATCTTGTGTCATGAAGCTCAGATATTTTTATTTGCTGAATATAAATGAGGCTGAAAAAATGGCACCATTTATATATATCTCACCATGCATAAGTAGAGATCAAGCCCTTTCTGGCCTCATCGGGTCAGTTTCTGGTGCAGTGGTTAGACAGGATTCTGGACGAAGCTGCCATGGTCCAAAAGATTCCCGATCAGTCACCTGATCCTGCTGTGGTCATGGAGCAATATCGGGCTAAGAAAGCCAGACAAATGGACCTATATGGCAAGGCAGAAGCAAGCCTCAAGGAGCTAGAAGCCATAGAACAAGAGAAGCAAAGAGTTCGGGCACAAATAGAGGCAGACAGGCTACATCGGGCAAAACTGATTCTGGAGCTGCAAGAACTCGAGAGGCAGACTAGTGCAAGCGAGCCGGTGATTGATGCGCTAACTTCCCAAGCCATTGCACTCACACTAGCTGAGACAGAGGCCAATTCACTTCAAAAATCCATTAATATAGAATTTGAGAATGTAAAAGACTTGGTCTCTACAGCTTTGGCTTTTATGAAATAATCACCGTTCGAGGCAATTAAGATTTTCCTTAAGTTTTAGTTTGTTGACTGATTAACCAAGAGAATTTCAAAATTTATAAGGAAACAACCATTATTTGGCTAAATCTGGATAAACAGATATTGCCCATAAATGGAAAGAAATGTTGATAGTACCCCAAAAAAAAGAAAAAAAGAGAGAGAGACACAGAGACATGGTGAACATAATTTCTATTTTACAAACCAAGAAATGAAACCAACTGGAGCATATGCTTAATCAACCAAGAAATGAACTGTGGTTGGGTCAAGGCATATATGCATATATGTCATACAGTAAAAGCAGTCCCGCTCACCTAGTCAAAGTATGCATGTGATCAAAATCAATAACGGCGTACAATACAAGCCTATATTAATTGATATGGGTAGTGTCATGGAAATTTATTGTTATAAAAAATGCAATTTTTTTTTTTTAAGGACAACCAAATTTTGGAGGATCGAATCGAATTGTTCCTTTCAGAGTGGGTTGCGATGAATTTGAGCTACAAAATGGAAGCTCAACATATTCTTTTCGACGAGTGGCATGATTGATGGAAGAGTGAACAATCTTCTTTGGTATGATAATATATGGAAAGGGAGATTATTAAGAAGGTCATGCATGCACAGAGTGGGTAAGAAATACTACTCTGCTTTGCATAACTTAAGCCAAGCCTGATGGCTCTCAAGGGAATGAGACCTAAAAAGGGTTTTAAACCAATAATGGAAGACTGATTGAAGTGACTATAGTTTCACTAACGAGGATTCTTCTTGTTTGTAAAATTACAATCTTCTGTTCATCTTGTGCAAAGACATCACAATTATTGAAAAAGTATGTTTGGATTAGGGGAAAAAAAAAGTATATGCTCTCGATGCAATGGTAACATCTATAAAGTCAATGCAGTGAAATATCTCAATTCTGCTCGGGTGCCTACTTAATGGCACCCAATAGAAAAGAACCATGTTTACAATAATGATGTATTAGCATACTTCATACATCCAATTTGAGAGGATGGTCAACAAAATCTTAATTAATGAGTCAAAAAAATGTCAAAAACTTATCCCTGGAGCTTATAGGATTGCATCAAAACTGCATAGCAAGACGTATAAAGCCGTTAAATGGTATCCCTCCACTGCTGATGCATGTAATGCCTCTTGAATATTCTTTGGCACACAAGAAACACACCCGCCAATACAGAGAAAATCATATACCTGGTACTGTGACTATCATGAAATCCTTCTAGATAGGTTCCTAAACCCAGAGCCCACACACTTAAGTATAACAGTCCCTGTGGATGGGTCAGGTTTGATGACAAATGTAACTCCGAGAAAATCTTTGATGTTTCTGAGTGTTTCTATCCCGTAAGGAGAGAGCTTTCCAACACGAACCTTTGAAACATCTTGTGGACATAATGCACAGAGAAGAAACAACAAACCCTAGAAGCCAAAATAACAGCAAACTATCAGCATATAGACAGAATTAAAAAGGGAAAAAAAATGGAGCCTATATCCAAGATAGACAGTGATCACAAATGATTAACTCCTCTTTGTTAATCTGACAAGCGGAAGTTATTAACTCCTCTAGCTAGAGTTGTGCCCCATCTTTGCTTGGAAAATGAGAAAGTAAATTCAGCCACTATGGCATCAAATCACAAACCTGGTGTGTTGAATCTACCACTCCACCCTGCTCAATCTCCCCAAGCAGAACAGTAGCCATTTGCACACCAACGTCCTCTGGAGACATCAGCTCTTTCTTCTCCTCATCTTCAAGCTCAGATGTTTCTTCCTGACGTGAATAGGAAACTGCTGTATCAGTAGAGATACAGCAACCAGAAGTTGTTTCCGCAACCAATGAAATTCCATAACCAGGTGATCTGCCATAAAATCATTGTTGTCTACATGAGCCTAAGTGTTACTACCACTTCAACATAACAAACCTAAAAAACCAGTCCAAATTCATAACATGTATCTACATAGGAAAAATCTAATGATATCTAGTAAATGTTGAAAACATACTTTCCAGCTTGTGCGCCCTGTCTATGGTCGGTAAATATGTGAACATCTGGGAGAAAGGGATTAAAGATTCCACGAGCTGCATATACCATGGTATTTTCAAACTGCACAGCCACTCTCGTAGAGAATGTAATCCCTCTAATCCTCTTAACCATCCCCTCATCAGTCCAGGTAACTGCCTGTACATCCAAACATATAAACAAATAGAAAACCGAAAAAAAAATAGAAACATAAAACATAATATACTATCTCATAAGTCTTAGAAACTCACTGTTAGACTTTGAACAACCGGAACTGACAACAACACTTCACCACCTCCTTGAGGAGCAGATCCACGACTCAGTATTTCTAGGTCCAACCCTTCTGAGGGAACTCCAAAGTGTTTTAACATGGGCAAGGTAGTAGACCGGAACGTATCAACAGATGGGTCCTTTGAATCATTTGTAATTCCTAAAAGAAAAAAATGTAACTCATATAAAGTGGCAGCACCTTTTTAAAGCTCAAATCGACAGGTGTCCCTTTTTTTGGGTTAATGATTAGGTTCAGGTCATTTGTTTATGATCAGTAAGGTAATTAGTAAGAAAGTCAAGTACACATACTAAAACTATCAGGAATTAGCTCTCCTGTCCCCATGTTGATCTGCGACTCCATATTACGACCGCCACCAAAAACCTTAACGAAGTGACTAGGAAAAAAAAAAAAAAAAAAACTTGTGCTATTGGGAGATTGCTTATAGAAGAAAACCACTATCTTAAAGGATGAAAACGTTGTAAAAATTGTGTTCCTTACTTGGACCAAAACCATAACTGTGATTGAGGCTTTCAATAACAAAATGAATTCTTAATATTACAATAAGCTTGCTATTACCCTGGACCAAAATTTGTTTCACACATTAAATTTTACAAGAAAACCAATAAAAAAGCAACAAAATATGAACAAAAAAAAACAAGATAAACCGCATGAAGGTTCACAGTAATAAAAGCGCTACCTTGAAGCGTAATGTTAAGGGGTTTTTTGGCAAAGAGACCAAGCACAATCAATGGCTCCAAGTAATAACCAATAGCCCGACTCAGAGCGCATTCGTGCACCAGATTCCTCCCGCCCATCACGATCCCCGGCTTGAACTTCAATTTCGTGCCTACCCACAAACACACACACAAAAAACAATGCTCAAAACCCTAAACCCTGAATTCAATTTTGAGCTAAATATAAGAAGGCAAGTGTTTGGTGTTTGTTAGTGAAAGTAGTACCAGTATCGTTGATTTCGACGGAGCAGTCATCGCAGACCTTCTCGAGCAAGCGGATGAAGGAGACCTCGTGAGGACGGAGACCAGGCCACGTCTCCTCTGCATGTATGTCCTCGATATGAACCGGTGTAGACGAAAGCAGAGCCAGTACGAGACGTTGCCTTAGGTTTTGGCTTCCTTTTAGCTTCTTGTAGCTTATTTTCCCCATTTTTGCTTCTCTCTGCTCTCTCTGCTATTGGGTGCTGGGGTTTTGGTGGCTAGGGGTTTTGCAGGGATGTTCAACCTTTTCTTTTCCTTATTTTTAATTTATTTTTCTTTTAACAAGGATAAACTTGGAATTTTAAAAAAGAAATTTTAGTGTTGGGTCTGATCAGCAAACAAGTGGGTCTACATAGAACCTTCATTGTACTTCTTTCTCATCCATACTTTGCTTCTTGACAAAGGGGTTTATATTTAAGTGGTTAAGAGCATCTATGCACCCGATATCTTACGTTTAATTTTCCCTCTCTCAAATCATTTGTATAAAAAATAAAAAATAAAAAATTCTGGGAATATTTTCTGGAAGCGCTGGTCCGAATCCTTGTTGTGATATTGAGATTATATCATACAAACAAAATAGTTGCAGAGACGGAGCTTGTTGAAACAAGCTTATCGTCAATATTGCTAATGTAAATACAATTTAGAAAAGTCCAAACTGATTAGATTGTGTAGTTGTTTGTTAAAATCATAAGACAGATCTGTCGACATTTGGTGCTTTACAGGTGTAAATCACTCAGACACCTTTTTTTTCACCACCTACTTGGTTATATTAATTATCTTTTCAGTATGTGCAGAAGGCAAGGTAATTGCATTGCAAACTAACTTCTTTTATAATGCTATAAGCTTAGAAAATCTCCCCAGCGGAAGCAATATTTGGTAAATATAACCCTCAGACATAACCGCTTAACCTGCTTTCATTTAACAATGCTACAAGCATCACTAATTCACCAAAACCTGTCAACTTGTTCAAGAATAGTGGTCAACATACTTACTACTACAAAACCGAACCCTGTCTTTTTTTCTTTTTCTTCTTATGCCCGGGAAAAAACACTTTCAACCCTCTGAATCGTCGAAATGCCTTGGACTGTCAAGTTCACCCATACTTGCAGAAGCAAAAGAGTCGGTAGACTCTACAGATGAGAGGGAAGAGACAGAATCATCTGAATCCAACACGATGTGATCATGAAGGGTGATGTTATCTTCATCAATTTCCTCTGTTCCTAAAAGTAGTTTGTTTATTGCTGACTTCGCAGTTTCAACAAACCATTCATCCTCAGGGAGTGCACTAATAAAACAGAAGAATTTTAGCTTTGGGTTGAAACTTTGAAAATAGAGGTCCGAGGGAGAAAGAACCAAAAATGGGAAGACATGCAAACAACTTACCTTTGCACTTCTATGCCTCTAGCAGAAAAGGCCCTGATAGCACGAGCAATTATGGCTGATGCAATCTGGTGGACATGCCTTGATGGGTAACCCGCAAAACGTGCAATTTCAACAGTGAAGTGCATATCAAGAATTAACTGTAACAAACATAGTTGATTATGAGTTAACTGTGCGTGTGAAAGAGAGAGAAAGAGAGAGAGAGAGAGAGAGAGAGAGAGAGAGAGAGAGAGAGAGAGCATTCAACCAGGACTCTGGCTGGCAGCACTTGCCAGACTCCAGGGTCCACCCAGCATAAAACTTCAATCTCTTCCAGTTTCTCAACCAAGATTGTTTTAGAAGAGA